TTATTTTTCCCTATTATTACTAATATTTCTATTTTATTTTTAAAACCATTAAGTCTTTATGTAGTTTTAAACATTTATTTCAAGTGTGGGCTTAGAGGATCTAGGCAGGCGAATGGCGAATGTCCATATTGTCGAAAGTACAGACGCATTTATCTCTGAAATGGCGGGGAGAGAGGCCAGAACGCAGTCTCGGGTCATAAATTAAATCAACGGGGGGCTTAAGAGCGAAAGGGTGAAATGGAGTGGACCTGGGCTGGACCTTAGGGGGTTTGGTGGCCACTGCAATTGCAGTGGCAAGCTGCAGCATCGATGGATAGTTAGTCGAACAAATATAGAGAGATATATACATAGATAGATAGATAGACTGTCTGCAGGACAAGACAATGGACCTGAGCTCGGTTCCATCTCTCTCTCTCTCTCTGATTTCCCATTTACCCTTTTCCACCTCAATATGGCCGGATGACTACTTACAGCACAGAAATGTCAGGAGCAGTAACAGGAGCCGGACCAGCTGGCAATCTGTGTGTTGTAGTGCGTAATCCTCTTTTTGCATTGTCTAAAATAGACTCAATATGTCTCTACCCATGGCTTTGAGCTGGGCTTTCAATTCCACTCCAATTAAGATGTATACCAGGTGAAATGAATTGTTTTGTGTCACTGGTAGTATTTCAATGCACAAATAAGAGTCATTTGCAGGCGAACCCGGCAACAGCAAAACCAAAAAACATTATTCATTATTAATATATATTTCCCCCCTTACAAAATCTAGAGCAACAGAGAGCTGTGGTTGGGTTTACAGGACTCAGGGTGCGTTAAAACTTTGACACTTGGTTTGACCAACTCAAACGATTTGTTTGGTTGGCCAACATGACCAGGCCACAACAACAACTTTGGCTACGAGAGGGAAAAACCCTTAAAACCCCATACACAAACGCTTTGAGGCAGATACTTTAAATGACTGCCAAAGCCTCAAATGGGTGTATAAATCCCCAGCAAAGAACATCAGCACAAACAGATTTCGGAAGGGCATGGGAACGGAAAAGGGTTTTTGTGTTTTTCTTTCGTTTTTTTTTTTTTCTTTGTAAGCCCTAAAAATCCCTGAACTAAATCCGTGTGTAAACTTTAAGGACATTTTGCAGAGGCTTTTGAATATTTAATTCAAACAAAACAAAATTCTATCTTTCTGTTGATAGTCCTGGTGTATTCTTGGTCACTTTCAAATAAATTATTAAAGCTTAATAACTTTTGGGTCAAGGCAAGGAAAATATTTAAATTTTTAGAAAGTTTAGAGGAATTTATAATGTATGTAATAGTAATTAAAATGCAATACAAAGTGTATTTGTCTAGAAACTTGTTTCATTTGTGAAACATGTTCTCCTCAAATTGTTAGATCCTGAAGCCGGCTTTAAGTCCCAAAATAAGAGCCAGACAATGGAAAAGCTTTAGTGGGGCCTGGCAATTTAATTTTGAAAATTCAGCTTCAACCAATTGTAGTCGGAAAAGGATATGTGTGGTACACACAAACACAATGGAGAGCTGCTAACAATTTTGATGTTCTTTGTTAGCGAGCAAATGTCGCAGGACACAGAAAAATAAACGCCGAAAAAAAAATGGCCAGAAAATGAAATGCATGTGCATTTTAAATGCAATTCATATTAAATGGCAGGAAGTGCAAGAAATGCTCAAATAATTGCAGCTCCAAATGGCCATTTTATAACAAAGGGACTGCGAAGGACTCGGCTCAGTCGTCGTCGTCGTCGTCGTCATCGTCCTTTTGTCTGTATATATCCATATCCGCATCCGTGCCTGTGTGTCATTCTCGGCGTGCAAATTGAAAGTGCAAATATTAACATTCAAGACGATGTGCCAGGCACACTTGTGGCTTTTTCGCCTAGCCGTCATGTCCTTGCTGCCACTCAATCAGCAGGAGCAAGACTGATGCGAGCACGACAACAGCTGCTGACAAGGACGAACTAGAGCCATGGCACATGTGTGTGTGGTACAAGGGCCAAACTTTAATTAAATTGTATATGTTTTTCGGCATGCCAGGGCTGAAATTCCATTTACCTTTCCCATTTCCCATTTCTGGTGACCCCTTCGGGCGGGGGGTGCTGCATAAATTTATTAAAGTGATTTTGCTCGCCAAACAAAGCCCTTACAGAATCCCTTTTCTATTTCCAGGTCCAGGTCCAGGTCCCTGGCCAATGTCTTAAATATTAATAATGTCACATGCAAAGCACAGACGCACACACGTCCAAGCGGGGTGTGTTTTAGATATACCAACACATAATTGTTTTGAATGCCTCATTAAGTGTTTGAGAACTTAAGCCCAAGTTCGTTTCGGCGCGTGTGTGTATGCCAGGAACAGGACCAAGCCAGGACACAGCAGGAGATTATTACGATTATTATAAACTTTAATGAAATTCTATGGGTGTGTGCAGATACACTGGGAAAAACTAAAAACAAAAAAGGAATATTGGGATTAATAATTTATAAGCTTTAAATTTGTAGAGTTGGGAAGACATTTTGAGAGATGTGTTAATTAAAGGTTAACCATTTGGAAAATACTTTTGATTATTTAATTAAAATATAGGTAAATTTGTATAAAATCTCATTAAAATTCCTAGTTTTTTCCAGTGTTCTAGTTGTAGTAGAAAAGTATTCTAGCTGCGACTCTTTAAAGCCACTTCATGGCAATGTTGACGCTAACGTTGGCCTTCTGTTTCGAATTATCTAACTGGCTGCCATAATTGCCAGCTCCATGTACTATCTTCTGTTTCTACCGCCATCTGCCCTTCTCTCTCTTTCCCTTTTTTTTCCCATCTCTTTCTATAATTCTTTTAGCGTGTGTGTGTGTGTGTTTTTAGGCAAAGCCAATCATTTGGGCGTTTCATTGTCATTATGTCAATCTTGGCGCCGCCACTCGACGGAGTCACGTGTGTGCGGGGCATATCCTTCAATTTGTGTGACTGTATTAGTGTGTGTGGGGGGAGTGAGTGTAGATGTGGGTGTGTGTGTGCGGAATGATAATGAGACAGTCGTTATCTTTTCCATGCTGTTCTGTTTTTGGTAGTTCATTTCGATGTCGTTAAATACACGTTTCAAGTTAATTGCCTAAGGCAGCAGGCGGGATAGACTCGATGCTATATAGTTAAGCCCAACTGTAGATCCTTTTTCCCTTTCTTATTCTTTTTAATTGCTATTTAATTAATTTTTGTAATTTTTAATTTTGGAAAGATTATCCCCGATATATCTTTAGATAATCAAGTAAACTATAAACAAGTCTGAAAGAAAACAAAAACTGGTACAAAAACCCTACAAAAACCAAACAACTCCGAAAATCCAAAGGCATGCAGCAGCATCTCATAAGAGATACTTCCATTGAAAGTTGCATTTAGCTCAACAAAAAACATTGAACAAGAGCCAGAGCTAAAAACCAGAACACAACTGAACATCTTTTATGGATAATTTTCGACGAATAATGAAGTTCTTGCTGGTGGCATTGTTCTCACAAGCTTAGAGAAACTTTCTTTCCTTGGATTTCCTACTAATCACTGTGAGCCCGGAATTTAAAGCAGACTTTAAGTGCTTAAATTCAGGGAAAAGGGTTTTCGACCAGCTCCATAATAATAACTCAGGCCGGGCAAATCGCGTGCATTAAATATTTACACTTTAATCTACTCAATGGCAAGAGCAGGAGAGGAGGCAGACAGACTCCAGTTCTCTCTGGGGAAAGGGGCTGGAGGGGCAAAAGAATTCCTGTGGCCATAAAAAATAGGAAAATATCTGGGAAATCAGACAATCCGACAGGCCAAGGAGGAGTAGAGACCGCCAGCCGAGTCTGTCTGTCTGAATGCTAAGAACGTGTTTAGAGCTCAGCGGATATATTTTTAACACAGCTCCTTCACTTGCAAATGCGACTGCAGAGAGGGCTCCTGGCTGGCGGTTATCCTGGAATTGGTAATCGAAACATGTCTGCCACAGGGATTAAAGCCTCAAAGTCCACAAGTTGCCCATTATTATTCGCTTCCAGGGTGTTTTTTGCTGGAAAATCAACAATATACATACGCCGCAATCATATTAAAAGCTAAACGCCACGAAAACCAGGTTGCATAATAAAATATGAGACATTAATATTCACACCCAAACCACATCAAGGGTGGCGGCTTCTCCGCTTAGGAACTGACCTTTTCTGGGCGACGGCCAGGACAACGTACTTCCTGACGCCTCAAATTATGCCATAAAATGTTGCCCAAGGGATGAATTCATTTGCACACACACCCCACTCGCATACATCCCTATGCAGAGCCATTAAATCACCCAAAAACAATGAGCTCTTGGTCCTGGGTCCCCCATCATCCTGATCCTGGCTGGTCCGAGCTGGAGTTTACCTTGCGAAATTAATTTCATTTGAATTAAGCACAGGCAATAATGCCGAAATTATTCACAGACACCCAACCGAGGAGGCCCAACCGTCGTCCTGGCCAAAATCTGAGGCCCATGCAATCAACGCTCGATTCCCGCTCCTTGGAACCAAAATTGTTTACCAGTCAACTCGACAGTTTCCCCCATGCCCCCGTGCCCCATCCTCAGAACCCATTTTGGGGGCTCTTTGTCGATGCTTAAGGGTTGCTGATTGTGTGGTTCAAATGGAGAGGTGGCAGGATTTGGGGGGTGGAGTTGAGGGCGAGGGCGAGGCTGAAGGGTGTGATGATGGGGGTAAGGGAGAACGATTTCTGACAGCTAATTGAAAACATTAAATTCTGTTTACCTCAAGGCAGACTCTTCTGGCTAGGTCTATTTCATTTATTTTGAATAGGAAAAGCCTTGAATATTTGTGATATTTGGGATAATCCACATCTGTTCACACATCGAAGGTGGAAACAATTTATGAACATGAAAACTGGAAATTCACCTTAAAATAAAGATAAATGTAATATTTCAAATATTAAATTATATATATCTTTTAATCTATACCTTCTTTAATAATAAAATATAAATTTAAAAAATATAAATAGTTTGGACAGCAACCCTGGGTTCCACACCTTGTCGAAGGCCTGTTGGACGTCTAGGAAAACCGCCACCGTGTATTTTTTACGTTGGAAGCCATCCAGCGTAGTTGCTCGAGCATATCGTGACCAGCTCGGAACCCAAATTGGTGAAGCGGGATCGCGTTCTGGACCTCAACACAGGACAGGATCCGGATAGCATACCATAGCAACGCTCCAGTATTTTTCCGAAGGTGGGAGAGGAGACTGATCGGTCTTTAGCTATCCACGTCATGCGTTGGCTTGCCTTGCTTGTGTAGCTCGACGATGTTGGCGGTTTTCCATAGCCAGGGAAAGTGTCCCAATCCGTTAGACCGTGTGTCAGGGCCAGGGGATTTCCATTTTTTCAGCTTACGGATTGTCCTCTTTATTTCCTCCAGCATTGATGTCCTTTACTTTCTCCCTTCTCTCATCTAAAGACTTTTAGAATGTGGTAAACCTCTTCTCCAGATTCACCACAAAGGCCTCTACTTTACATTTCGTTCACAAGCTAACAACCTCGAATATGGAGTCTGCTAACGATAGATATAAGCTATTCAAAATTTGGATAAAAAAATGTTCATATTAAACATTTTCCAATTATTTTTAAAGAAATTGTTCCAAAACTCACAATTTCTACTACAAATTTCGGCATACAGATTGTCCACTATAAAGTAATACTTTCCTTGCTGGTATTCATGTACTTCATGGTTGTTGTCTTCATCATTGTGTCATTGTAAAATTTATATGAAGAGGTATGCAATATGATGACAGAAACTATGATGCGAGTAAACATGTTACACGCATATCTCCAAGATATGCACTATCCATTGTGGCAGCTGGTGGAATGGATCATTTTAATTTCCCGTAACATGGATCTAATGGATATTATGGTAAACGAAATAGAGAAGATTTATATAATTTACAAACTTTTTCATACCTGAGCAGTGTGTCGAAATATAAAAGCAACGTTTGAATAAAACTAACACCTTTCCATTTGTGGAATATTCAGTAAATGACTTAATATCCCCTGTGAACTTATTCAAAGCAAAGAAAAAAAATGTATGTATGATGATTTTTGCTGGCTACGCATTTGCAGGCAGCTGTCCAACCATTTGAACACTTTGCTGTCCATTCAGCTGGGCTCTCCTGTCAGTCCTCCTGCCGGGGGTCAGTCGCTCGAATAAAGCGCTGCCCTTGCATATTTAATACCACAAAACGGGCAATACTCCCTGGGGATAAATAATGTGAAATATTTACACGATCTACATACAGACTTGCACAAAACTGACACTTGTGTGGGACATGGCTATATATGTAATAACAATAATAAAACATTATTGTTGTCTTAATGCTCCCAATGGTATTTTTGGCCCAAGAGCAAAGAAGTTATGAAAAAAAAAACAGTTTGTTTTGACAGTTGTTACAATTTTGTTACGATTTTTATTATGATTTTGGATAGGATAAAGTCAAATGCAAATTAAGTTGAACTAGGCTTCGGGGGAATAAGAAATAAATTGAGTTTTAGTAAAGCAAAGGGTTTGGCAAGGAAATGTTATTTATTTATTTTAGAAATTATTATTAATTTATTAATTAAATAAAATAAATATCAAAAGTAGTAGCTGTTCTTTTCAGATGCAAATAGTTCGTTCTTTGTATTCCCCTTTCAAGTTCAGCTTTTTATTAAAAAGGACCTCTCATTTTTTGCGCTTTTCCTCATTCTTTTCACAGTGGAAAAGCCTGTTGTGCCAGCAGCTTTGCCGCCAGGTGAAATTTGTTGTTCCGCTTCCTTTGGCAATCGCCTTGGATGAATGGATGCAGGCAAAGAAACAGCAGGCGGTGGAACACAGCAATACATCCGTGGCCCTTTACATGTGAACATTTTTCGCCTCAAGTTGATTGCATTTTTCAGACGGCAAGAAGGAAGGAAGGCTGAGATGGGGAGCTTGTCAACTCTCCCGCATATAAGGAAAACAATCCGTTTGGAGTAAGCTTTTGTATGCATCGCACGTTCGTTTTTGGTTGATTTCTTGCATTTCTCATAGCCATGGGATCGACTCTGCTCCGGCACTCCACAGCTCCAACTCCAAGCTCCTCCACTCTCTCTGCATTTATAAATCCCGGCATCGCGGGTCAATTTCATGCAACAGCGACAGCGAACCTGGACGACCTGCAGAAGGACACTGAGAGAATTGGATTTGTTAGGGTTTAAAGATATGTATTTAATTTAATTTATAAATTTTTAAACCTAAGAAATTAAAAGAAGATTAAAAGCAATATGGTAAATTTAGTGGAATTTCTTTTAAAGCTCTTCTTTAAATTTTATTTATTTTAAAAGTATTTCTATATTTAAAAGAACATTTTGTAATCTTCATAAGTTAATAAATTTTAAAAACAAAATAGATTTAATTAACTTTTTCTTTGCAAAAATGTATAATTTTATTTCCAGTGCCTCTGCAGAAACCTGGACAACGGCACGTATGCGCGTTTTTCTTCATGCCACTCAGCCTCACCTCTCACCTTTCACCCCTTTGCCCTTCGTCCTTCGTCCTTCATTCTTCGCCTTAGCTCGCCTTCTGGGCAAAGTGGGCGTGGCGTCTGGCAGCACGTAATTGATTGTTCAATCTGTTCCAGATCAAACGAAGTTGCAAGCTCCGAAGAGCGAAATTTCTGCGCGTATCTAAAAAAAATTCCTAAAGCCACCTCGTAGCAGCCTCAAATGAACTGTGAGCTGTTCGGGCCACTCAGTTGATTGAGTCACCTTTCCTTTCCCTTTGCTTGGAACTTCGTTTTCCGCCAGGTGCAAATGAGCTGCTTTAAGTGGCGGGGAAGCACGTCGTAAAGAGGTAACAATTGAATCGGTCTGTATGTGTTTTCTGGTCTTTAATGATGTTTGACCGGGACACCAAGAGCCTGCCTGCCTGCCTGCCTGCTCATTGGTATGCTGAGATTGTTTCAAATTATTGTCGTCCTCGGATGCTTAAAAGCCAGCCAGGCCAGGCAGCCATTCCACACTGCAGCTGCCACTGATTGCTCACTAAATCAGCTCTTCGATGGCTGACATTTGTTTGCAAATTGAACTTTGAGACTCTTGCGCCAAATCACAATCGCCTCACGGAGGCTGTTGGCCAACTGGCAGCTGGCCAGCGCAAATACTCGAGAATATCTTTATTTTCCAGCCAAACAGATGGCAATCGTTGCATTCGAAGGCTATTAGCTCATAAATAAAACTTTAATGGGACATTTGCTTAATGCTGATGAGCAGAGCATTGATGTGGCGAGTTATTTTATTTTTTTAAGTATTATTTAATGATGTTGTAAGGAATATTAAATGGAATTAATTTGCAGGACTAAATACATTTTACAATATATATAATAAAAGTTCTCTTCAATGAAAAATTACTATTTAAAGTCTCTGATTCCATACACTGCCTCCCATTGTAATATCCTTTATTATATTTATTTCCATATTTATTTACCGAATCAATTTTAACCAGAAATGTATAACCTTTGGTAATTTACACTTTTAATGCCATAAAGACGAGACCATTCATTCCCTTCCAGAGTCAAATCGAATTCATTCGATTACGTTTCATTATTCATGAGTGGAAGGAAGCTCTGTGATATTTTCAGGATTTGTTCCGCAATGAATATGCATGCAAGTCTCTCTCTTTCTCTCTCCCAGACTATTTGTTTTCCTATAGTTTTTGTTGTTTTTTCCCGGCAATCTTTTTTCTTTTGGCTTTTTTACATTGATTGTCCATTGGGCATTCATTGGATTTTTGTGTGTGATTTCTCTGTTGCTGTAGCTGTAGAGCCCGGTGCTGCTCCCATGTCAAAATTTTGGACAGTTTGTCACTTTAATTGAATTTCCATGCAGAGCCAAACGAGCCAAATAAAAAGTTCAGTAGTTTGTTCATGCGATTTATGGCAAATAGTAAGAGAAGAGCCTGAACTTTTGCATAAATTTTCATATAGAAAAATGTTTAATTCAGCCCATATGGCTGTGTATATGTTTGTGTGGGTGTTTGGTAAATGCAAAACATGCCTCTTTGCCAGATGCTGCCACACATACATTTACCATTTGATACAAGACTTAAGAGGGTACACTGATAGAAAAACTTTGAAGCTAAAGAATGAGCGATGGAATATTAAGAATAGGGGTAAAAAGAATGAGAATCTGGGCAAATTATGTTAGATTTTAAGAGCTACTATTTTTGTTTCAAGGAATTAAAGTAAAGAATATCTATTATAAATTTCATAAGTAGATGTTTTCTTGGTTAAATTATAAATATTTATAAATCATTGGAAAGCATATTATTTCTGCCTAAAAAAACTATTAAAATTAGGTCTCTGCTTTCTATATTTGTATTACTTTTTTCTATAGTTTAAGATAAGAAATAAAGTACATCAAATAGGTTTATTCTGATTTTCTACTATATTTTTTATATTTCTTCTTATTTTTATTTTTAAATATCCGTATCCTTTATCATAAATCTACCTCTAAATATTTATTAATTCATTTTAAACTGAATAATTTTGTCACTGTTGCTGAGTACATGGTAACCATTGGCACAATTCACGCTTCTTAGACATTGCGGTGACGATTTCCGCCTTTCACCTGATTGTTGCTCGCTACAGCTTCCCATTGAGCTCCCTTTCGGCCACCTTTCAATCCCCTTTCAACCCCCCTTTAAGCCTCCAAACCACCCATGCTCGTTACCTCAAAAGCCGCTAACAATGCTGGGTGAAATTTCCTTCGCAGCTCGCGGCATTGTAACACGCATCCTTCCGAGGTTGGGATGCCTTGGGATCTTGTTCCTGTTCCCGTTGCCGTTGCTATTCCTGCAGAATGTTTTATAAGCTATGCAAAGCATCTAACGCCTGATATCAGCAACCAGAGAGTATCTGATGCTGCTGGTGTGATGCTGTTGTTTTGATTGAAAGCATCTCGCAGCGAAGAATTTCACATCTAATAAGGGAAATCACCGAAGCGAAACACCACAAACTATACAATAAATGTTGACAAATATTATTTGGGTTTCTAAGCTTGGCACAATTCACGGGGGACACACTCGAGATACTCTTAAACTCACACTCTTTTTAACCATTAATGGACAAGTTTAACTTCAATTTAAAAACTTTTGACTTTGACAAATAAAAGCTGAAAGTCTCCTCACCCTCCTCACTTTCAATTTGCATGGATATGGTTGGAAAATGTTGATGATGATTTCACCGGAAGGAGACATTTTTTATTGACAAGGAAATGCTTTCTTCGAAAGGCAAACCAACGGCGGATGTAGTCAACGGTTTCCTTTTCCACGTTTGACCACCCCGAAACAGAGGCATAAAATGTATGAAAAATGTTATTGCCATCATTCTGGGTCCAGAGCGCCCAAGTTAAATTGAAGAACAAAAGTGTCCGGGCTTAATCGTAGATGGCCAGAGAATGGCCGAAGAAAACTCATTTTGCCACACAAATTGTCGCCTTAACACCTTGTAAATTATGACGAAGGCTCAGGCCTCGGACAGGACATAAAAAGTAGCCGGCCTGCACTTCTGGAGAAATGCTCCACAGATACTCAAAGTAACCACAGACAAACACTCATAAACACTTTATGACAGTACGGCATCGGGTCAGGTGAGGTAAGGCAAGGTAAGGAGTTAAGGGCTCCGGGCTGTGGAAGCTGGATGGATGCTGGATTCTGGGGCAAATCGGGTTGCACCGGGGGTTCAGTTCAATCCGTTTCAAGTCCACTGCTCACACTGGGGAAATCAAACGAACATGGGACCGTATCGAAACCGAATGAGAGTATCCCCTTCCGCCCGAAAATCCCTGATGTGTCGTCCCCCAACGGGGCTCGCCGGAGAAGTGACAATGAAATCAAACCGAGAACAGGGTGGACTCTGGGAGATCTATCTGTCTATCTGGGCATAAGAGTGTGTGTCACGCTGCGGGCTGTTGCCCAAGCAAAGACCAAACCGAAATAGTTGGAAAATTTGGGAAGTGCAAGCAGGAATACTCTATCTTAAAAAGGTAATTGAATTTGAAGGTAAATGAGTTT